TAGCAACAATGGGATATTTAGGCCTCACCTAGACACAGGAGCTGAATTGCCCAAAAGTTTCTTGTACCTGGCAGAGAACGCTGTGCACATAGACCTCTACGTTGCAGGAGGGCATTCTGACCTAGCCAGGCACAAGTGTGCACGTATACCAAATCATTTATGTTGGCAGTCGTTCGGGCCAGAAGACTTTTCTTCCTCAGAGGCTGGCCAGAGCCTTCATAATTACAGCTGTGTTTCTGTTGTCAAACCAAATTACCTCACAGCTTTAACGTACAGTCCAGCCTAAAGATGCTGGCTGTACAGACGTACAGGGAGGTTTCACCAGACTCAGACCCTGGGTCCTGAGCCAAAAGGAAGGGCCGGAAGCTGGCCCCAAAAGTCCTCACTGTCTAAAAGCTAAGACTCCTGTCTTCTTTCCTCCTGCCTAAAAATAGCAGTGTCATAAAATCATCTGTTTCCAAACCACAAACAGGTTAACTTGGAGCTCTGACACCATCGCACTCCCATTCACTCATTCAATATTTCTACTGACTGGATAGGATCCTTCTCCTTGCAGAACACTCAATTCGCCACTCTTCTCCAGGACTCACTATTATCAGTAGGGCATAGCTCAAAGGTAGCACACAGGCTCTCTGTGACTGGGCCCTGGCTTCCCACCAGCAACACTGTTTTAGGGCACATCTCTGATCTTCCAATGAGGCCAAATCACTTTCAGCTCCTCATCAATGGCAGGTACTTTCTCCTCCCTTCCCCACCATGCTGTCTTCTAGGTTACCCTCTCCTGCATCTCCTACCATCCACTTCCAAAAACTGAGTTCCAGTATCAACCTCTTCAAGAAGCCTTCCCTGGAACCCCTCTCCCTCTCATTTGCTACCAGGGAATCCCCACAATTAAATGTAAAGCTATGCATTCCAAATACCCATGGAGTTATTCATTTCCCTATTTAGAATGAAGTTTTTTTTTTTTTATAGTATTGGGGTTTGAAGTCAGGGCCCTGCACTTGCTAGGCAGATACTCTACCACTTGAGCCAAACCCCCAGTCCTTTAGCTGTTTTTCAAATCAGATTTTGCATTGCTGCCCAGGCCAACCTAGATGATAAGCCTCCCATTTATATTGCCCCCATGTAGCTGGGATGACAGGCATGCACCACCACACCCAGCTTTTTATTGGTTGAGATGAGGTCTCACAAACTTTTTGCCCGGGCTGACCTCAAACTGCAAGCCTCCTGATCTCCACCTCCCAAGTAGCTAGGATTACAAGTGTGAGCCACCATGCCCCGTGAGAATTTATAATCTTGATGGCAGGGTCTATGTCTTATTTAGCATGTTATACTTACTCCCTGGCACAGAGATGTTTTAAAACTAGATGAATGAATGAGCAAATTACAAACAGATGGATGCTGATCGTGCCACTTCTGTGCTAGAGCCCTCAAATTGAACAGAAACTGCCTGTCCTATTACTGCTACATCCAGCACTTCTACTGATGAAAGCTACTTTATTGGTTTTCTTGGTTTCGTCTCAGCCCCTGATAGTACACGGAAGTATTTAGCATTTAGTAATTGTGGGGCCCAAGTTTTTTATCCTTTCTAAGCGTCAGGTTGCCATACGTAAAAAGACTCTGCTCAGAACACACTAAACAGATTTGTTGTGAAAATTGAATGAAATAAAACAAGGTGTGTGGTCAGAACCCTAAACGGTAGATGTAACTGAGCTGCAAAATTGATAGAGAGATCCGGGTAGGTGCAGTGGGAGTTCAGAGTGAAAATATATCTGACAACTGTTGTCTTCAGCAGAACATCCCCTACCTTGCACTTTACATAATCAGCAGCTCTGGGAAGTTCATCATAGTGTTACTGTGCTTTGTTACAAAAGGCACAAATACCCATTTCCTTACTCATCTCAGCCAGCACACATAGAACTGTAACAAGAACAAGAAAAATATGGAGACTGAAAAACTCAGTTCATGAGGCCAGGGTTTCCCAAGGCTCCTGTCAGGCTCTCTGAAAAATCGCAGGCATTTGCCTGGAGGCCAATACCCGTTCAGGACTGGAGGCCTAGACTGTGCCTTCTCGTCCTGGATTGCCCGTGGCCTGGCAAGTCATGTCTGCAACTTCGCCTTAGCTCCTTCCTCAGTCAAGAGAGTGTTGGCAAGAGAACAGTGAGGCCCAAGCTTTCCAAGCTTCGGAGCAATCAACAAACATTCAGTGGAGCTCAGTCCCCTGCTAGGTCCCTTGGCAACATTTGCAGATTGACAAATTAAGTGCAAAAAGAAAACATCACCCCAGAAGCAGGGAAGTATAGAAGCCAGTAGAACTAACCCCACAAGATGCAGTCGTGTGCTGGAGCCAGTTCATATGGCATCCCAAGAGCTGATTGTTAGTATTCAGAAACTTGCAAGCTGCTTGTTAATCCATCATTACCTCAAATTCAGCCCTGGTGGGAGTTTTTTCACCAGGGAAATTAGCAGATACTACAAATCAGGGCTTCCCCCCAACCCCTCCACTGCTAGCTTACCAACATTCCAGCAAAATGTCAGCCACTGAGGCTGTCAGGGGAGTCGTTTTGCATGCAAGCTCCCAGGTCACATAGTCCCAGGTTCAAATCTCAGTTCCGCTAACTGGGTAGCCTTAGGAAAATTACTTAATTCCTTTGAGTCTATTTCTTCAGGCGTATATAACACCTATGCACTGAATGCTTACTGTGCTCCAGGTATTGTTCTCAGCATTTATACATATGAATTCATCAATTCCTCACAGCCCTTGAAGAAGAAACCATTATTATTTCCATTCTACAGATAAGAAAAATAGAGGCAAAGACAGGTTAAGGAGTTCCACCAAGATCACAGAGCTAGTAAGCAGCAGAGCCAGGAGTGGATACAAAGACCGGCCCCAGAGCCTGCCCTCTTATCTTCCAGCCCCGAGCTGTGTGATGCACTGGTCACCTCTGGCTACAGGAGACTTGATTCCATAACAGCAACTGGCTCCATAAAAAAGAATGAAATTCTGTCATTTGCAGGAAAGTGGATGGAGCTGGAGATCATCGTGTTAAGTGAAATAAGCTGGAAACCTATGGGAAGGGGGGAAGGGCGAAAGGAGAGGATGAGGGAGTGAAGATCAAAGTACATTACATGCATGTATGAAAATAGAATAATGAAACACATTAAAATTGTAAAAAAAAAGTGACTGGTTAGACTTGAGATGTGCTAGAAGTATGAAAACCATGTAAAAAAAAAAAGAACAAAATATCAACGCTGTATTGATTACATATCGAAAGGGTGATAGCTTGGACATATTGAATTAAATACAATGTAGTACTATGGCAAATTGTACCCATTTCTTTTTTATTTTTTTAATGTTTCTTTTTTATTTTTTTAGAAAGTTTTTAATTGTGACTCACATGATATGATATGGAAGTGGTATTCTGTACTGACTTCCCAGCTTGTCACAAACATTAAATCAGTTAGTGCAAGGAGAACTAGCACCAGGCCTGAAACAAATCAAGCACCCAGTACCTATTATTAGTATTAGTGAAGTTTGTTTTCTAATTTTATAGTAGAGCGCTCTGGTTGAAGTATAGAAGACCTCGAGGGGTCCTCTCGAGGTCTGGAGGATGGAAGAGGGGCTACCACCTCCACAGGCCACAAGGGTGGTGATCTTTAAAAGCCCTCAAGCTTTAACATTCCCATCTGTAATTTCACAGAAGGCAAGGAGGTAGTATCGAACAAAATCTTGGTGTCTGTGGTAGAACTGTTCAAATGATCATAGAAAAATACTGCCATGTTGCTTGGGAGAAGCAGTGGTGCGGCCTCTGATCTAGGCACAATACAGAAAGGGACGTTTGTGTAGGGTTTGTCCCCAGAGGAGTCATATCAGAAACTTGGTCCCCAATGTGGCAGGAGAAAGAGGTGATGGAGTCTTTAAGAGGTGGGGCTTAGTGCAAAGTAATTAGGTCACTGGGGGCTCTGTCTTTGGAAAGGATTAATGTAGTTTTACAGGGTCCACGATTAGTGACCATGAGTGGGTTTTTATAAAAAGAGCAAGCCTGACCCTGATGCTCTCTAGCTTCCTGTCTCACCATGTGACCTCTTCCATTCCACAAGTAGTCTTCCCATTGTGATGCCATCTTCCATGAGCTGTGCAGAAGCTGGGGCCATGCTCTCAGGCCCCAGGACTGTGAGCTAAATAAGCATCCTTTCTTTACACATTACCCAGTCTCAGGTATTTTGTGATAGCAATAGAAAACACCCTAATACAATCATCATGAATGTAAATATGACAGGATCACCTCTAGACTCCTGGATTACGACCCATAAAATACCCACTCTCTCCTTGGGCTCCCTCACAATCTGCCAACTCCTCACCCACTCAGAACCTGGGGAAGGCTCGAGACTCCAAGATCCCCATCTCCAGCTCCAGGGAAGGGCAAGAGTGACACACAGCCTAGGCACTACAATGACTGCACTGTCCTAAGGCAACTCTGGGCTCCACCAGCCTCAGTGTCTGCCAGGCAGCCTTCCAACTCTTCCTCCAGTCCTCGCCCCTGGCTCTGATGTAGTGTGTGTGGACAGGGAGAGCAGCCAACTCTTTGCTGGGCTCTCTAACAAGTTCCGCGGGTCTGTTTGTTAAAGAAAAATTCCAGTGGGTGCATCCAACACATGGAACTCAAGTACAGAAATTATATTTATCCACCCCACTGCCAAGGAGATCACATGCCCCGTGAGTCACTCCAGATGTGCTCAAAAACAGAGTTTCTGTGTGGAAGTCTAGTTCCCCAATCCCAAAAAGAGTCAGATTAAGAGGTACCAGCTCCTGTCCCACCCAGGAGGCTGCTGTCTGCCTCCACCCTGCGGAAGCTGGGACAGAGTTTTGCCACGCTTCTGGAAAAGGAAGGGTGGTAAGAACTCCCATCATCTCACCGGGAAGAACTCAAGGGCCTACCTGTAGCTACCAGGGTCCCACTGGGTGTGAAGGTGTATTTTCCACCTTTTTGGGGGAAAACATGGATTGGAAGGTGTTGCTGCTTCTGCTGTTGTATTACAATGCCCAGGCTACAGTGGCCCACAGGTGGAGCAGGGGTGAGTTGCTTTTATTCATTCCTTTGCTTGACGCTCATCCATCTTTCTTAGGCATGATTGGGAATTTGGACTGCGGTAAGTGAAAGGAAGGAAATTAGAAACGCTGTGCCCTCTTTTCATTTCATGTTTGCCTATTGCTCTAGTCTTCTTGGCATGTTCAGCCTTATTAGAAGATAACGGGAAATGACGCTGGTTAAAAACGAAAGCTGTTGAGTTGGGAACATGGTGGAAGTAGAGAACCCAGAGAGCATCCCTGTCTAGCATGTGAGAGAGGCTCCTTTCTGCTTCCTAGAATGCAGACAGGCTCTCTCTGGTTCCCTCACCTGCTGCTGCAGCTGGGCAGAGGCCCTGAGAGCAGGTGCCAAGCTCTATTGCCTAAGTGGTGGACTGATGGGTGCAGGGATACAGGAAGTACCTCCTATCTCCTACCTAAGGTACTCTCAGCCTGGGTGGCTCAAAAGCAGATTTCTGTGCTGCCCCTGACCAGAAGTAGATACATCTTTGCAGCCAGGTAGAGCTTTCCAGAGGCAGGTGAGGACAGAGGAACTCTTCAGCATCCCTTGGCCCACCAGCCCCCCACCAAGTCACCATGGGAAGAAAGGGACCCCTGCAAAGGCTTTTCCCTCATTGCTTACTTCCTCTCCCTGAGGATGTCACTCCTCAGAGCTGTAATGGCATCTTTTCTCTGTGCCTGGAAGGACCTTAAGCCAGTCAGTTCATTGCTGTTAGGAAATGAGGTACCAAGAGTGCTGCCCATTCCCTGCCAGTCTAAATTGAAATCTTTCCACTGCCAAAAGTCAGCTGAGTTCATGCTCAGGAAAAGAACAGGATTTCCTCAAGTCAAGCTGGTAGGTGTTTCTAGAAACCCAAAATCAGATGAAGGCTGGTATGGTGGCATGGGTCCCTGCTTCACAAGGACAATGTCAGGGAAGGAAGGAGTGGCCAATTTGGGAACAGAGCACTGCAGAAAAGCAGCATCTGGAATGTAGGGTGGGGAGGGGAACAGAGCCTCAGCATTTATTTTGGATTTTATTTCTTCGTGCTTTAGCCTGATATTAGGGACTTGCCAGTCCTCTGACCTGAGCTGGGAAATGATTGCTGTCCAGAGGCAAATAATGCAGCAGTTTCCTTTTCTTCTGGTAATAACCTTAAGTTCACACACACACACACACACACACACTCACGCATACGGAACCTCCCTGCTCATGGTGTACACAAACTTTGGGGGCAGCACTTGGAAGTGGGGAGCAGAGAGATCTTGGAGTTGTGGGGTGCTACTTAATTTGCCTATTAAGAAGGGATAATGGTATCTGCTCTTCCCAGTTCATAGGCTGCTAGAAAGCCAAAAGAGATGATATGACTCTTTTACAATATGACCCATTAACACTCGGGCCACTTCAGGAGCTACCCAGCAAGGGACTCAAAGACTTAAATTATGCCTCTGGTTAACAGGCTGGGTGATTTCTGGCAAGTCTTTTCACTTCTCTGATCTTTAGTAACAGGTAAAATACTAACAATTACAAAACTTCCCCTCATGTCATTGTGATCAGATTCGAAACTATGCCTTGTGAATGGTGAAGCACTATATAAATGTGAGCTGTCTCCTTCCAGTGTTAAAAACTGAAAATTTTTCATTAAAGCAAGGTGGAGTCTCTCAATAGAGGTTTGATAGCACCATCCTGAAGGCACCTGCTCTGGCTCAGTGCCCAGCTCACTGGGAAAGTTGATCACCAGAAAGTCCAATGCCAACACAATGGACAAGGGTCATGATGAGGCAAAGGGCTACAGTAGTGGTTCAAAATCATGTTCAGTACCAACAAAGAGCATGAAGCCCCTTAATTCTCATCAAAAGTCTTCCACATGGTTGGTTTGTTGGTTTGTTTGTTTTTGTTTTGTTTTTTCATTTTTGACATCTTTTCAAATTATGAAAGAAGTACCCAATTCTGGCCATTCTGAAGACAGATAAGAGTCACACCCAAACGCATAACAATTTTTCCAAATGTACCATCCCTTCCATCTTCATCCATACCCCAACCCAAACTGCAGCCCTAGTTTAGATGAATCTCCATGGAAACCACCTGAGAACACCCTCTCCTATGAGATCTTCTCTTCCATCCCTCATCCCCTCCACTCTGTCCTCCACACCCCTTAAAAATAAACCCAGTGGGAATACACCCAGCTTTCACTGGGACATCCTTCTTCTTACAACTCTCCCGGCCTCTCACTAAGAACTGCTGTCTAGGATCCCGCCCTGGAAGGTACTTTCCATGCCAGGATCCAGGATTGCCTGTTCCAGCCCCACCAGCATGATTAAGACTGAATGACTCACCTGTGGTTAGTGTGGCCAACCTGGGGATGCCGGATCTACACACGCGCACACACACCTTGGCCCCAGATCCTGCCAGCAGAACACATAACAGGAGAGGGATGACTTTTCAAAAAATTGGAAAATAAGTATATATTAATTGATAGGCATATTTCATGTTGCTGTTAAATACATAACAATTATTTCTTTACAAAGCGGTTTAGTAGGGAGGGTGGCCTTCAGTTGTTTGGTGGAATCTCTGTCACTTTCGGGTGTGCCGTTAGACTCCTATGTGTTCTCAGTCATGAGTGCCCATCCAGGGATGGGCAGGGGCTGGTGCCTGGTGAATATTGACACCTGACTCACTGTGGAGCATCACGGGGACCTCTAATGCCAAAGCCTCAGGAGGCAGGTGTCAACATGACCATTTGCAGATGAGGGAAGTGCCCCAGATTGCTCTGCTGGATGGGGAGTGGATTTGACCCCAGGCCTGTCTGACATGAGTCTGGCTGTCCCACTCATCCCCTCTCCATCACTCTATCTTTCTGTGTGGTGGAGCTTGGCAACCAAGATCACCTCTCTCTGAGGACTGTCCCAGAGGACACCAGTACACAGGACAGAGCGGAGACCTTGGCTGCCTCCAAAGAGCACCAAGTTTCCAAAGGCCTGGCCCAGGAGCCGAAAAGTGAAAGGCATCAGTAGAATCTGCCGAAAGATATTTCCTAAGTCAGAGCTTCGGCACCCACTACCATCTCCGTACAGCTGCTTCCACTGATTCATTAAAAACAGGTGCGTTCTAGCTTGATGTGGTCTGCACTCTGCATCCTTTCCAAAAACTAGCTCTTGGGTGCAAGTGCAAAGAACAGGTGAGGACAAGCCAGGGGAGCCTTACCATTGGTGTTGTAATGCACATAGTACAGAAACGGGAGCAGGAACAAGAAGGGGGTGGCCTGGACTATAAAATGTCAGAGAAGGTCAGACTACACCACCAGGCAGGCCACTCTATTTGGGGCACCTTCTGGCCACATATTCAGGGAAGAAAGTCCACAGGGGATAAGCATGGGAGATCCAATGGCCTTCACTGAAGTGAATCAAAAGTAGCTCATTCCAAGCTAGAACAGGGTCTTAGAGATAAGGGAAAGGGATGTTAGAAGCCTAAATCAACATGTACTTTCTGATCATTAGCTAGACCTTGGAACTACAAATAATCTCCAGAATCACTCTCTTGCAAAAAAGAAGATTTTGTAAAGCCCTATGAAAAGATTCAAGTTTAGTGACCAGGTAGGTAATACGTCACTATAAGATTGTTTATTCATTCAACAAACAGTAATGGGCACATTGCTACACACTAGGAATCCAGCAGTGACCAAAAAGGACAAAATTCCATACCCTTATGAAGCTGACATTCCAATGAGGGGATACAGAAACAAACACATGCACAAATAAAACATGTGACTCAGTAGATGAAAATAAAGTGGGGACATAGGTTAGAGAGTACAGAAGGCTATAATTTTAAACATGATAATCACAGAGGGCCTCACTGAGAAAGTTACAAAAGACCTAAAAGGCAAGGGAACAAGTCTTGCAGTCTCTGGGGGAAAAATATTTCAGGCAGAAGAAACAGATATGCAAAGGCCCTGTGGTAGAAGCTTGCCTGGTATGCTTTAAAAAAAAGAAAGAAGAGGCTTGTGGCAGAGTGGTGTGGGCCAAAGGAGAACAGTAAATGAGTGCAGAGGGGTAGAAAGAAGCCAAGACAAGAAACACCTGGTAGCCATTTGAAGCTCTTTGGCTTATCCCCTGAGAGAGATGGAAAACCAGAGAGGGTTCTGGGTAGAGCAGCCATCGGCAGGTCATGTTTCCAGAGATTCACTTCAGGAGCTGTGTTAAGAATAGAATGAGGGGGCAGGAGCCAGGAATAGATGTGGACAGGGCTAGGACTAGGAGGCTGGTGGGATGTGGTAAGAAGTAGCCAAGTTCCTGAGAAGGTATAGCCAACAAGATTGACTGACTAGTTGGATGTGTGATGTTTAAAAAAAAAAAAAGTCAAAGATGACAACTGAGCAACTGAAAGAAATGGAGAAGTCTGGAGGTGATGCAGGAGACATCTGAGTGGTAAGTAAGAGAGAGAGAGAGACATGAAAAGGGAAATAGATATTAAAAACCCAAGAAAGGTTTTTAATATCCAGATTCCAGTAGGAAATAGAGATGTCTGGCCTGAAGATATAAAAGTGAAAGTCAATCCACACATGAGTGTAGCTAGAAGAGGGAGAGAGCCCAAGGCTGAGGCCAGCTCGACTGCTATATGAGCAGCTAGGTGAGAAGGGCAACCAGGGAAGAGGGTGGTTATTTTTTTTTAATTATGATGGAAGACATAGCCATGTATCTTCATGCTGAAAGATCCAGTAGAGAGGCTGAAATGAATGATGAAGGAGTGACATCTTCAGGGGGGATTTCGTGCACATGGGAAAATTTTAGCTTTGGAAATTTGGGAGGGGAGCCTGGCACAATGGCAGAAGAGAAGCTGGCATGTATGAGCAGGAGGCAGACAAATGGCTTCAAGAGAGAGCAGAAGGTATGGAGAACAAGAGGAAACAGGAGACCTAATGAATGTCAGGCTGTAGGAAAGGGCCCATGTGAGGTGAACGATTGTGAATATAAAGTAAGGGCCACGGTAGGAAAGGTCACTAATTAAAAATTACTCTGACTTTGCTAAATTTCACACCAACAAAATTATTCCACAGAACAAATCGATACATTTGGACCAGAGTCTGTGAGGCGTGACAGTTCAAGGAAATTCAAGTTAGCACATTTTTCTCTACAATCCTACTGAATTTGGGGAATATATTTTATATGTTGCAACCCTCCCACACTTCATGTATTTTGCACTTTCTATATACTATCATTCGTTCAGCTTATGTATGTTCATGCAAACTCCTGTTCTGCAGTAGGAGGAAAAATAACTAAGTGAAGAAAGGTCACTTAACACAGTGGCATTTTCCTCTGGCGTCAGGCAGGTGCCCAGGTACAGGTGTGTATCAGGTAGACCAGGGCTGTGCTCTTGCCAAGTGATTACAAATGAACAAGAGGGAGTGAAGGGCTGAGGACTTAAGCAAGAGAGTGAACCTTTGTGGTTGTAGTAATTGGACCTTGCATGCTGTGTTATTATAAATCAAAGTTAGAGATTTTTTTAACATGATTAATTTAAGAAATATGTGTTATACCACATGCATTCATTCATAATTAACTCCATTGATCCTTCCTGTGTCTATCAGAACTGAAGAACCACCCAGTCTGTGGGCAGATGTACCTACAAAAAGATAGATAGCATTGTCCATCCTATCAGTGAGATTAGGTCTTGGAGTCTAGAAGATCCGGGTTGAAATCTCAATCCTATCTCAAACAAATTGGGTGGCCTAAAGGAAGTTCCTTTACCTCAAGCTTCTTCAGCTAAAGTAGGAGATTAATGCTTACCTCTTAAGGTACATACGGAAAGCACAAAGCCCACTGTGTGGCACACATAGCTCCTGAGCTGTTATTACAGCTGAGCTCCACATTCCTCATTTAGTGTGAGGTCCAAAGGTAGCTCTCAACAGAAGACTTGGACACATGAATCAGGAATGTCTGGACCCAGTTCCTGGAGTAGCTTAGTCCATTTAGTATGATGCTTAGCAAGTGAATCACTTGTTCTCTGCTGGTCAGTCCAATGTGTCATGGATGCTCATTCAGGAAGGTGCTCTCAGTTTCTCTGACCCAAGGCCAGCAGGTGTTCATGCAAGGAGACTTGGTGAGTCCCAGAGGTCACCACCACAGAACACCCTGAGTGGCACTTCATGAGGACATTCATTCCCAAAGAAATACCTGGAGAATGGGCTGGGTGTAGGGTGCTGAATAGAGAAGAAAGAAAACAAATGGGATCAGTTTCACACCAAGCAAAGGTACACAAAGCCAAGGAGTATAAGAAAACGCTCCCAGAAGCCTTCTTGCCTGAGGCTCGTTTCAGGGGGTTGGAGGGCCCTCTTTCTGTAGTCTCTGATCTCCCCATTGTACCCCCCTTCTCTTCCTTCCCTCTCCAGAAAGGTGGCATGGCTAATGGTGGCCCAGTGCTGCCTGAGGAGCTCAAAGCAGTTCATTCCTGGCTCGCAGTGACAGGGTACTGAATTTACGACCTCCAGAAATGTGGGAGATGAGACAGAAGAGAAAGGGAAGAAAAACCAGCAAAGCCTGAAGAATCTTAGAGTTGTCATTGTGTTAATACCTAGTTTGTTTTTTAAATCAAAATACATATATTAAGCCTTCTCTCTCTGAGCTTTGCAGTATGCAAAGGTCACACAGAAGGAGCAGAAAGCCCATTCCCTTCCCCCAGAAGCTGGCAATCCTGACAACTCTCATCAGAGGAATATACAGCAAGACGTGAGTGTGCAGAATGGACACAGACAGCCTCAGGAGATAAAGAAAACAGTGTGTCCTGGGGCAGCCGTCAGAGGCAGCTTGGGGAAACAGAGCTGTTTTTCCAGCAACAAAGGAGCAAGTCCAGTTTCAAGCGTTGCCCATATTCACCTGAGAGATGGCTAGCCCTTGTGTCTGCCACTGGGACAAAAACAACTAGGAGTGAGTGTACACTTCATTTTTACCTCTCTGTTTTGACATTGGTAGAGAGGGCTAGTTCTTGCTCACCCCATCCAGCATCTCCAGTGGAGGAGAGTTTATCTTCTCCAAGCCTCACCAGGATAGTCAGACCCAGGCAGCGGCTGAGCCACTGAGATGTCAGCCTAGGCTGCCCTCCAGCAGCATAAGGAGCACAAATGTCCCATGATCGAGGTAGCTACAGAAACAAGAGGGGCAGTACTGCTGGCGGTGGACCCGTACAGGAGATGGGAATGGAGGAAGGGACTCATCTTTAGGATTCTCACATATACATACATCCTCACCATACATACATCCTACAGCAATCTCCCTCCCCTAATCCTCAGAGCTCACACTATTTCTAACAACTCCATCAAACTGTGTCATTATTAGGTATGATGAGAACAAGGGCTGTTGGAAATGACAAGTGTCCATTGTTGAGCTGAATTTTGAATCAGGACCTATTTTCTTAGGTGTTCATATGGGGAGAGCATTTTAAAGGAACTGTTTGTGGGGAAACAATGGAGTAAAGAAAGCCCAGGTCTAAGATCCCAGTAACTTCCTGGGAAGGACCACAGGATGCCTGAGATTATAGGAGCAGAGAGAGCTCCAGTCTGTGACATTCCCTCCCTACTCCCTTCATCTGTGAGTTTTGTCAAAGGAACTATACCTTTAATTTTGCAATAAGAAAGAAATTCAGTGAGGAGAATTAAAGAAGTGAAGTTGCTCTCAAAATCCTATCCAGAGAAGGGGTCTCCACCCTCTCATGGTAGGAAGAAAGAAAGGCACGCGGAAAGAGCTCACACCTCAATCTAGGGACAATTGTCTTACTAAGTCTCCTTCTAAGGAGAAAGCAGAGGCAAAGTGTGCACCCTCCTTGAGCCTCCACCTCACTACTTCCAGATTCTGATGGGCACAAAAACATAAAACACTATTCACCCCAGCCCTTCAGAAGCTTTGGATAATACACCAGAAATGAGGTGCTGCAAAGGCCCTATTTCGGCAATGCTACACCAGCCAGCTTTTTCTGGGAAGAGGGAGACTCCTTCAGTGAGCTTTTCAGGAAAGTTCCCTTAGGTTAAAGATGTGTCATGTTTATATCGCTTCTGATGGAAATCTTTCAAAAATGCTTTACATGATTCCTGCACATTGAGCACAATTTAACATATTGAACCTAATTTGACCTTTTCTTGATGGCCCAAGGGCACCATTATCAACTAGCAGGGCTTTTGTTGATGGTTACACTAAGTGTATTTGCACAACCTCACAGGGCCACACCCATCTGTGGTCTGAGTTTTACAGTTTTTCTCCAGGTTTCTGGTTAATCACAATCAATTGCCTTGAAGAAGCTGCACCTTTTTGATCAGTTGCCGTTGTCTTGCCATAGGGGCTGTGCAGGTGATAGTGGCTGTCTGCTCCTAGCTTGGTATGATCCTGGAGAACTGTGGTTTATCATGCTCATTCCTGCATTTTACAATATTCTATCTTCTTTGCTTGTTCTCAGTCAGTTCCTAGCTCTAGCTAGCCTGTGTAACTCTACTAGCTCATCCAACCTTCCGCCAGCTACCACTTCTAAATGCAACCACTGGGGAACAACATTGTCAAGTCTTCAACTTCATACTAAATGCCTTGCTAAATCAGTCAGCCCTTAAGCTCTGAGTTTGGCACACAGTCCTCAGGAGCCCAGTATCACAGTCTTATTGCTGCTCTCCTCCTTTTATTTTGTCACCTATCTTCAAGATCTTGGCAGCTTTATTTCAGATGGCTGGCTAGCTAGCCATCTCTCATTGAACGCACTGTGAGTAACTATAAACCAGCTAAATACTGATAAAGTGTTCGGTTGTATCATGCCATCAGGAAGCAGTATTTTTAGGAACTTGCTTGTGGAGTTTGGGGAGTATTGTTTGCTTGCTCACTTCTGCTTTGCTTCATTTGATGTGTTTAAATAATTTCTCTAGCACAAATATATCCCCTAGGCAGATCAATTTTTCAAAACTTTCTTGAATGTCCCCCTGCCTTGAATTTTTTTTATTTTTATTTATTTATTTATTTAGGACTTCATGCTTGCCAGGCAGGTGTTCTACCACTTGAGCCACTCCATCAGCTCTTTTTGTGTTGGGTATTTTTGAGATAGGGCCTTGTGAACCATAGCCCGGAGCTGGCTTTGAACCATGATCCTCCTGATCTCTGCCTCCTGAGTAGTTAGGATAACAAGCATGAGCCACTGGCGCCCAGCTCTGGATGGTTTTGAGCGGCCAGGTTTGAAGCTACTGGTCTGACATGCCTGAGGGCTTTCTGGGACATGCCAGGAGAGGCTGCTACCTCTTCTTACTCTTTGTCCTCCCACTTTCAAGATGTGTGCAATGGCTACCCTGGAGGTTAAGTGGAAGGAGACAGCCAGTGCACAGGGCAGCTTGAGAGCTCACTCTCTTGTCTCTTCCAGCTGTGCTCTTCCCTGCTGCCCATCGACCGAAGAGGTCTTCATCACTACCATTGAACCCAGTCCTGCAGACCTCCCTAGAGGAGGTGGAACTACTCTATGAGGTAGGCAGAGATAGACCTCTCTGTCTTTTTTGAAGAAGTGGTCTGCCTAAGTGCCTGAACATGAATGGACTGTGCAGTGGTAGGGAATGACCTAGATTCATTTGTGGAGGTCAGAGAATCCTGATCGTGCCAAAGGAAGGAATTCCTCATACCCCACTCTCCTTCCCAATGTGCTGTGACAGGAATGGCTGCATTAAAAGTTTAGTCCAGGCAAAATGAGAGATTAGCTTTGTCCCATAGGTGCTACTGCCTGCACCCATGTATATTAGCAATGCAAATTGGGGAATGTGGCAAATTCCCAAGCAAAGTGTTTGATGTATGACTTCTCAGGAGTGTCCAGGCAATGCCATGCTAGCATCTGGGTGCAGCTGTGTCTCCAAGGTCCTGCCTGTTGTGACATAAATACTGTCTGGCTATTCTGCTAGCCCAGATAGATTTCTAGAAGCCTGGGTCACCCTGCAGGTGTCTTTGTCTGTCTCTAGCACCTGTTTCATGGAGACTCCACCTTTTCAAACCACAGGGTGAATTTCCTGAGGCATTTTGGCTCAGGTCAGTGGTACATCCTAGGTTCAAGGTCTGAGCTTTCATCATCAGCCATGTGACCTTGCATAAGTTTCTCCCTGGGCCTGAATTTCCTCATTGTTGCTTAAGTTCAACTGTGATCCCCAAAATTCCACTCCAAGTTCAATACCCTCTGACTCTGCACACTAGAACTATCTGGTAAGAAAGAACCTGCAGAAGCCACACAGTGGAGATGAAGAGGGGATTTCCAACCCTGCCTTAGGCAGAAGACTGGCAATGTGTAGCCTTTGCCAAGTCTTGAATACAAGAGTCACAGAATAGAAAGATGGTTCTGTGGAGGAGGGAGAGAACAGAGAGGAGCTGGAGGCAGAGAACACTTAGGATTTGCAATCTCTCCATCCAAGGAGCACTCATTAGTTTCCTCCTGGGAGCCTGCCACTGGGCAGAAATGCAGATAACAAACCCAGCCTCTTTTCTTGCAAGCTGGCAAGAAATGAAAAAACAATCTCTGCATTCCACTAAATCCCTAGCACACTTTTATCTTACATTCCCAGATTCTGCTTAAAATTATCCAAAATAGTCAGTTTGAGCTTTAGAAGATCTTTAGTGGGTGCAAGAGAGAAGGGAAGAAGGAATTGATCTGGGACTAGAAAAAAATTGTTAGTCACTTCTAGTGCCTTTGTACCAGGCACTGTGTTAGATTTGGCCATATTTGGCTTATATACCTTTCACAATATCTCAGTGATGTAGATGTGGTTATTAATCATTTTACAAAAAGGTAAAGTGGGGCCCAGTGAAGTTAAGTACTCTGTCCAATGTTACTTAGAAAGTGGGAAGACAGGGACCAGAACTAAGTTCTTTTGGTTTCCAGTTTTCTCCATAGTTGCCTCTCTAAGTGAAGATGTAAAATAATGACCATCACTGTGTCCTCAACAATGCCTGGCTTCATGTCTTTCTACATCCTGTGTTTCTTCCTAGTTCCTGCTGGCTGAACTTGAGATCAGCTCTGACCTGAAGATTTCCATCAGGGATGAGGAGCTAGACTCCTTGCGGAAGGCCTCGAACTTCCACACCATCTGCAATGATGTGATTCCCAAGCGCATCCCGGACATCCGCCGTCTGAGTGCCAGCCTGTCCAGCCGCCCTGGCATCCTCAAGAAAGAAGACTTTGAAAGGACAGTGCTGACCCTGGCCTATGCGGCCTACCGCACAGCCCTGTCCCAAGGGTATCAGAAGGACATCTGGGCCCAGTCCCTCGTTAGCCTTTTTCAGGCCTTGAGGCATGACCTGATGCGGTCCTCAGGCCCTGCAGTGTCTCCCTGAGAGTCTGGCCCACTCCAGGACCTTGAAGCAGAGACCAGCACACGCAGTCATCCAGAAAATTCATTCTCTACTCCATTCACAGAGACCAGCAACAAAACACCAACAACTGACACCAAGTAGCAGAGATAAAATAAGAGTTACCACAAGGCTCTTTTGCTTCTTGTTGCTTCCTGACAGACAAAGCTGATTCACGTCATAATGTTATCTGAGATGGAAAAAAGGGCTGGAGTGGTCATTCAAGATACCTCCAGAGAGGGCTTGGGGTCTGGTTCAAATGGTAGAGCACCTGCCTAGCAAGTGTAAGGTCCTGAGTTCAAACCTCAGTAGAGCCAAAAAAAAAAAAAAGATACCCCTAGAGTAGGGACAGAGCTAGAGAAGAGCCCATAGAGGTTTAGGCATGACAAGATGGCAGACAGATTCCTTTGGTCCCAAAGCTTCTATAGTAAATATAAAGAGGGTAGAGCTATAACCAAATAACTACATTGTGAGCCAGGGTATACTTGATTTTTCCAAAAGTCATCGAGAAGAACCAGTTAGAAACAGTAATTTTATGACCTGTATGTCTTGACTTTTTTCTGAGCTATTCTAAGACAGAGGAAAAACAGGAAGGGGACCCACGGAAATGTTGCCAGTCCGTTCATGCCTTGTCTTTTGAACAGAGAAATCAAGCTAATGCCAAGAAGATCCTCCTAATGAAAGAGGTGGCACCAACACCCTTGCCTTTCTGTCCTAATGCTAAAATATTTTAGCAACATTAGAAATGTAAGTGCTCAAAATAAAAATGATTTTTGGATGACCCAGTTTTCCCCTTTCAAATGTCAAGTTTTATAAATATTGACTCGATATCTATTTAAGCTGTATGTACATATACATACACATATATACATATATAGACTTAAGATTTTGGTATCTTAAGATAATCATTTAAAACATTCTAATGAAGGAAATAAATGAGATCATCTCTAAGATTCCAACTACCTATGAAATTTCTCCAATCACCTAACAACTGTGAGATTCTTGGGGAGGAATCTGCATCCAAGACATCTGCTGGATGCTGGGACCCTCCCTGCAAGATCAGGCTTTGCCAGTTCTGTGTCCAGCGCTGAGGTTCTCCGCTGCCTCCTCGCTGCCAGGCTGTTAGAATGCACTTCTCTTTATTACCTATGCAACATGCCCTTCACAGTTATCTCTCGTTACCTTCCATGGTCTGAAAACTAAGATAGCCAGGCTTGTTACCATTCTGTGGTAAGTAAGAGTTCACAGGTGATGGCCTCTGACAGAAGCAAAACACCTAGGTTGTGATAAGAACTCCTCCCCAGCACAGAGACCTCATTCATAGGGACCTTTAAATTGGACATTTTTCCTGGACGCAGGGTGGGGAGAGGAGCAGCAATGCCTCAGTTCTTAAACACTGTGCAGAACCTGTCTTACAGCCCACCCTGAGACCACCCGCCTCAGAACAGATCTGAGAGCTTCCCTGTACTCAGAACCATCAGGCAGAACATCACTGCCTACAGGGGGCTGCTCCCAGGGTGAATGGGGGCACTCTCACTGGGATGTGCTCCCAGGACCATGGGTACACTTAGATCATTCAACCAGCACCAAAAAAATTAAAGGCACTTTATATCCATAAATCAGGACCTAAATTTATGTGCCAATCAATGATTGGAAAAAATAGAAGAAAAGAAGGACACGACCTTTTTAAAGATAAGTGAAGACTTCATTTTCAGTAACTAGATTCTTAAGCACTATTTTAGTCTGAAGACAAATTAAATTTTGTCCACAAAAAGATTTATAATGACTTCAGTGACATACAAAAGCAAATATTATGCTCACCACCACCACCCTCCAAAAAAATCCACTATTTGTCCCATGAACAATAAAGGAGAGAGCTGGGCACTGGTGACTCACGCCTGTAATCCTAGCTACTCAGGAGGCAGAGATCAGGAGGATCACGATTCAAAGCCAGCCCAGACAGATAGTTCGTGAGGCCATATCTCGAAAAAGAAAATATCACAAAAAAGAGCCCGTGTAGTGGCTCCAGTGATAGAATAACTACCTAGCAATTGTGAGGCCCTGAGTTCAAACCCCAGTACAAATAAAGGAAGAAAGAAAGGAGACTGGGTAGAAACAGACTCTCCTGTTTTGCCTCATTAGTGCTCACCCTACACAACCACATTCACAACGGGACTGCATTTTGTCATATTTGCTCATAGAATGATGGGGGTAGTGATAGGGAAAACACACCTGAGACTCATGGAACCATTTCTGCCATTTCTATACTGCTGCAAAGTCTTAGGATCTAAAAAGCTCTGGAAGCTTCCTTCCTGTACAGTCAGCATCCTTGCAGGTATCTCTGGGGTCACTCAAGAGACAATGACAAACACCTCACCTGCTGAAAGCTTCATTGTTCTGCCATCTCCCCTTGAATCTAATGAAAAGAGCATCAAATGAGGGGAATATCAGTCAGAAGGCATTTCAGCAGGTAAAGTGATCTAAATGCTCATTAAGTGACTTTGTACGATATCCCATATTTTCCTAACTCACTTTAATAACTTACATGCTTTTTTTTGAAGTTGTGTTTAAAAAACACACAACATAAAACTTACCATCATAACTGTGTTTAAGCTTACAGTGCAGTAGTATTGATTATAGGCACATTTTTTTTTTGTTTTGCCTTTGGGGTTTCTTTTTCTTTTTGGCACTACTGGGATTTGAACTCAAGGCAATCTACCCCTTGAGCCACTCTGCCAGCCCTTTTTTTGTGTGTATTGGCTATTTTTGAGACATGGTCTCTCTTTTTGCCTGGGCTGGCCTTGAACTTTGATCCTCCTGATCTCTGCCTCCTAAGTAGCTAGGACTACTGTATAAGCCACTGGCACCCAGATGGTGTTTGTTTTTTTCAGCGGCGATCAAATCCAGGGATTTGGCAAATGCTCTACCACTGAGCTACATCCACAACCCTGCACAATGTTATAAAACAGACTTGTCTAGAACTTTTTATTCTTAAAAAACTGAAATTCTAGACCTATTGACCAACCGCCCTTTCCCCCTGTCCCCCTGGCCTGTTCTTGAGTTTAACTGTATTAGATACCTCATACAAGTGGAATGTATCTTACATTTCTTTCTTTTCACTTTTTTCTTTTTTTTTGCAGTACTAGGAGCTTGAACTCAAGGCCTCATACTGGTTAGGCAGGTGCTCTACCCTTTGAGCCACTCCACCAGCTCTTTTTTGTGTTGGGTATTTTTGAGAACTATTTGTCCAGAGTGGCCACAAACTGAGATCCTCCTGATCTCTGTCTCCTGAGTGTGAGCCACCAGCACCTGGCTTTGTATCTTACCTTTCTTGATCATTGGATTCTGGAAAGAGTATACTTCAACTGGAAAGTGGACAGTCCTGAAAGAGAACTACTGATTCTACTGGGCCATTCACAACAAATTTCACCCATGGTGTAATAAAAATGGCACAATCGAGTTACTAAACTCACTGGAATCTTTGTTATCTCAGATTATCTCACCAAGGAATGCACAGTAGCTCCTGGCTTGGACAGCGGATGCTGACTTCTATAGCTGTTTATTATTACCCCGTCTCTCTAATATTTGCAACTAAAACATCCTACATTCTCATGCTCGTTCTGAGTTTCAAAATTATTACAAAAATGAAACCAGAATTTAGTAAATACAATCTTTAAAGCCAGTCATTAACATGCAGGTAAAGAGATGAATCATTGTAGCCCATCCTACAAATGCAAAGTGACCTCAAAGAGCTGCCCATAGTTACACCTGTGTTAAAAGTCAAGAAGAACTGGTTTCTTGGGGTCGCTTCTCTCATCACTTTACTGTTAGCCTGGGGATCATTTCCAAGGGCTATAGCTGCAGACCTTAAAATGTGTCACTTCTCAAATTCTGTGAAGTCAACAGAACATAGTTTTCACAAGCCCTTGTTCTGCTCAGTATCTCTCAGACGAGCACCACCACTTAGAGATAGTTTTCTTTTCTTTTTTTTATTTATTGTTTTTATTTATTATTTACTACATTCTGGTTTCATTGTTGTACACAGTACTGTACACAATGGGGTACGTTGTGACAGTTACAAAAGTTCCTACAATATATCATAGTTAAATTCACCCCCTCCATCATCCTCCTTTATTCCACCTTCCCCCATTCCTGGAATAGTTTCAATAGGTCTCATTTTTCCGTTTACATACGTATGTACATAATATTCCCATTTTTTTTCCTTGTTCCAAATCGATGTGTCCTTTCTAAGAAAAGAAGCTAACTACTTCTCCTGACCTATAGTGGGAGAAATTCTATAATCTACCTGCTGCTGAGGTGTCATCCCTGAACTTGGCAATGTCTTCCCACCTCTTCCCTGTAGAAGTAGAAGTGCTTTCTTTCTGGTAAACAGCCTCAACGAGGAGTGTTTGCATGCCTACTCCAACCAGAAGGGCCACCGAGGCTGGCATCTAAACCTTTCCAGAGAGGTAGAGACCCTTCTCGTTCTTCCTAAAAGTTCCAGGGTTTTTCTTCCAGGCCTATGCCTTCCACCCACTCAGATCCTTGTACTCTCTGGGTGTTGAAGAAATGATCTTTGCCAGCAGAGAAGTCTGAAAGGCTTAATATTGTGCACCCTGGAGCAAATTTCTCCAGAATTAATATTGCATTTTCTCCCTGCTCTCAGGTGAATCACCTTCCTGAGAACCATGTCAGCAAGTGTGTCCCATGCTTGGAAACAACAAAGCAGTGCTTGCCATGAGATCATGTTTAAGATGATACTCACCACTCCAGCTCCTAGGATGTCGGAAAAATAAGCTTTGCAAGCTGCCTAGGTTCTGCAGAATCAGCAGGCCCCTGCTGTGACCAATCAAGAACTGTCTTTGGAAGAGCTATTGGCTCATTCTTTTCAACTTGCTGATTGGCTTTGAGGAATGGGTGGAGCTACTGCCTCTGTCCCTACTTCCTATTGGTGGATGAAAGTTAAAGGTGGGCCTCCAACAAGTTTTTGTCCTGTGACAGAAGGAAATGTCTTGGGTTTTTTTTTTAATACCCTTGCTTTGAAGGCCCAGGCTCAAGAAAAATTATAAGTAAGAAACTAATCTGAAGGAAAGAATTTTGAAGCCAGTTAGGGTGTCCAGTCCTGGGAGAGAGCGGCAGCTCCATCTGAGGTCTGCATGTGCTTCTGACAAGAGCAGGTGCTTGCTTTAAGCGAAGAGGCTACTAGAATTTTACCAACGGTGAGACAGATAAGAGACAGAACAGGTTCTGCCCAAAACAGGCCGTCAGAGGGAAGGAAAGTGATGGAGAGCACGATATGCTTGTAGTGTTTTGTATTTTTTAAAGCCTTTACATTTTTTTTCAAGGCCATTCAACAGCAGCAAAAGTATACTTTTAATTGCTTCAGAAGGCTTTTGCTGACACCTAGAATGAAGTTACTCTCTTGCTAACCATGCAGAGAGGGGACTCATGCTACCGCTTGTAATCCTTTCCCAGTTTCTTTTCGATGGCCATAATACCATGCTCATCAATCCCACCTAAGGCAGAAGGCAAGGAGCCCAGCCTTCTGTGGAAACGGGGTACAGCAGCCCTGCTCTTCTGCCCCCAAGACCAAAGAAGACTGACTCTTGGGAGCCAAGAAAGGTGTGAGAAGTCTTCCTGGACAGAGAGTGGTGCATAGTGCAGCGCCAAGGCGGTGCCGGTCAAGCGGTCAAGGGCGAGGAAAGGAGATAGGGCCACCATGGGCTTCCTGCAGGCCCTTTTCCAAGCACGGAAGCTGCTGCTGGTAGTCTGCGCTCCACTGCTGCTGCTGCCTCTGCCCATCCTCCACCCCAGCAGTGTAAGTACCGACCTGTCCCTTGCGCCCAAGGCATGGGGGAGTGGGGGAACACGAAAGAATGGGGTGTTTATGCAGTACCCGAAAATGAGGCTTGTGTTGGAAGAAACGGACATGTTTTTCCGGAGGAGACTGAAGACCTTCTTCCTAAAAACTCATTTTCATCCCTGTATCTCACTGCCCCCAGCCAGGCATCAGAACAGAGTGGGGACTGTGGCTAAAATGATTGATGCCTGTTGCACGAAGTGCAGGGGCCAAGCAGTTGGGCTGATGAGAAGGACAAATTGGTAAGCCCTTGTTTGTCAGGAGTCAGCCTGTGACCATGTTTATCTGAGAGCAGCTAGAGACATGGGAAGACCTCCCAGACCTGACACAGAACAAGGATGAGGGTGGGACAGCACTGTGGAGCATTTCCAGAGTCTGAGAGCAGGTCATGGTGGGCACTGATGACCAGAATTTGAAAATTGTCATCTCTAACATCTGAACTTTTGGGAAGGAAAGTTTAAGTTGGCATACTGCCCTGGTTCCATGGGATTATTTGCATCCTCTGTATACCCTCTGTGCTCTTGAAGGACAGACCTAACGTGATGTGACAAAAAAAAAAAAAAAAGAAAGAAAGCCCCCAAACTGTACACCATGATGTGAGAGCAGAGGACTAAATCTTTGGCTCACATTCAACTTGCTTCTTGGACTGTCACTTGCCTCCCTTCCCTTTCTCTCTCTGGCTGCTGGTCCCTGGCTTCACTCCTTCTCCCAGCTGGCACTGCCCTTGAGATTTTAGGAAAAACAAGCTAAGACAGGCTAACTGTGATTGCGGGAGGGGAAGAATATCTTCCACTCTGCTCTTGAGTAACTTGGTAACCAAGATTAATTAAAAAGTTAAAGAGAGGGGATTAGGATGGTGCTCTTTAAAACTAACTGATTTAAATCTTTAGTGAAATAAATACCCTAGAGTGACAGGAAGGCACAGGAATTAGGAATTAGGCTGGAATTAGCAGTGGTAGCTGCTGACATGGTTTCTGGACTGTACGTTAGTCAATTATCTGCTTTGCATAAAAGAACTTGATTTTATTCTATTATTTTACTTTGATTTTTTTTTTCTTTAACCTCAGTGTCAGGTTGATTTAAAGGAATGCTAACAAGAGACACATTACTCGCTTCAGTATTAGGGAGTCCCTGTCTCCCCCTTAAGTCAGCCTTCATCTTTGGGGAAATGCCGCCACTTTTGAACATTCTCCTTTTCTTCTTTCTTGTTATGTGATTTGGGCTTGAGGTTTGTTTTTTTTTTTTTTTTGAAACAGGGTTTTGCTTTGTAGCCTAGCAAGCCTCAAACTCATGGTCCTCCTAAGGTAACCTCCTGAGTGCTGCGGTTGCAGGTATGCCTATTCTCTTTCAAACAGAAGCAAAAAAGAAATGACAATACCGTCCCGTCCCGTATAGGCATCCCCTGAATGTCCACCCAGCAGTTTCCACACACCTGCTGACAATGGCATTGATAAAAGATCTGGAGGCCTAGAATTTTCTCCCTGGTAAGAGACACCTGTCAGCCAGCGGAGAAATAACTTCAGGCAACATTAATTGAGCTACCTGCCAGACAATGACCAGACACAAGGACACCAGGCTCCTGGAATGAACTCTGCTGAGTTTGTTACTGGGTGGTCTGAACCCACGCTCCCATGATGAATTTAACAAACTCTTGAAGAGACAAAAGCAAGTTGATATAGATTCCATGGCTGAACTAAGTGAGAAACAAATGGAAAGACCCTCTAAAGACATCTTTCTTCTACTCTTCTGCTCTAAAGAAAGTGCAGATAAAATGACAGTGATAGTGTTAATCCTATGGGAAGGGGGTGTTGACTCAGGAACTTTTCCTCGTAACCTATTCAAATTCCTATGATATTTACAACTGAAAATATCACCCTACTCAAATCCTCCTGGTTCACATCAAAATAGTACCTGGTAGAAGGAAAGTGCTACACACACACACACACACACACACATTAATTGGTGGCTCTGTAAAACAACCAGGATAAGGGCTTCACGGGGAGGGACAGACAGTCTGCTTCTTTATCTTCACCTGGAATTAAGACTGGTCATTTGTCTGTTTTTTTCCCAGAAAAGAGAGGAGCACAAGTGGGTTCAAGCTTTGAACTCCTTTAGGTAGTTTTACGTCTGCACCTAAGAAGGTATTTCTCTAAAATGCATTCTTTTCCAAATGGTTTTGATTTTATTGTCTTATTAGTACTTCCAATGGTTTTGTCTTCTCTCTGATCTTTTGGCCCCAAAGGAAATCTTAGTGGGAGCTGTAGTCAGCAATCACTGGGCCCATTTCATATTTCCCAAACCCTCGCCCTATAACCCACGAGTATAGGCAAGGGAACAAGGTCCCTTGGAGTCCAGCAGGTTAATCAATCCTGCTGCCCCTCACTGTCACAGTGACCTTTAGTGGTGTTTATGAAAGAGTTTGAGAAGCTTATTTTGAACTCTAGGGGCTGTAAATGGAATAAGATTTATCAGGTTCCCTGATCAACAGCCAGACTCAAGCCAGTTCAGACCTGAACCCTGACTTTGTGAAAATTGAGGAACCCTCTGTCAACTTGCATTTTCTGCACAATGGCCCTCTAAATCCTGCAGCTTGGGGAGATTACCATTATTAAGACCTTGGACGGTGACCTCCTCCAAGAGTAAGCTGTAACCTTCTTCAACACCACTCATCAGCACTGTTCAGGGCCATCAGAATTACGGAGGTCAAGGTTAAGAGGGCTGGTATGATAAGGATGTTGTACTTACTTACTCTGTGTACCCCTGGGTTGCACAACAACAGAGCTAGTGAGCCAGGGAAAATGCTGGTAAATTTCCAGGCCTCCCCTTCCAGGTGGATGGCACTTTATTCCCTTTGTAGAAAGTTGTCTCTATGGCATCAGGCAGGGGGCCTAGTTTCCGAGAGCAATGAGCACCTGGGGAAGTGTCACCAGCAGCTAGAGATCAGAAATGCTGCTAAACATCTTATGTTGCACAGGACCACACCCCACACACCATGAATTATCCAGACCTGAGTGTCAGAGCCTAGGTTGAGACATGTTGAGTCAGGAGTTCATTCTTCCTCATTTCAAAACTAGAGTCCTGTTATTGGGATAGCTGCCTGGCCCTTCCACTCCTCCCTACCAAACTCCCTTTAGTTCTTTTCTAATTCTTCAAACAGGTCCCCTAGGGGAAAGACTCACCTGCTAAAATGCTAGTGCAATATGATAGAGCTTCAGGTCAAACATCAAAAGGGAAAATAATCAACTGTTCTTGTCTAACAATTTATTGGATTAAAATTTACCACTAAGCTGGGTACAGCGGCAGGCATCTATAGTCCCAGCTACTCAGGAGGCTAAGGTGGGAGAATCCCTTGAACCCACAAATTGGAGAACAAACTGGGCAACATAGCAAGAAACTATTCTTCCAAAACAAAAAAAAATTCCTAATGAATTAAGTTGTTTTGGCAAATGGTCTGAAGCAGGGGGACTTAACTTCATTTATTCATTTTTAAAGCAGTGAAGCCTTTTTAAGTTTGCAAATAAAATTCCACATGTAATGCCAATATAGAAATCAAATGGAAGCAGCGCTACTTTAGTTGGGGTGAGGCTGGAGAGGGGGTCTGGGTTCAAAACCTTGCTGGTCTTCCTGGGATATGCCTGAAACATACCCAGGCTCCCGAGCAAGAGAACACAGTATGGAAGCCACCTGTGGGTTATTTCTAAATCTTATTTCTTACCAATCCATTTCCCTTCAGTAAGGCACATACCATATGTACCTGTGCTGAACTTCAGATGACTGACTTCAGGCTTCACAGGTCAACCAGTCACACACATTGATACCATCTTCAACTCCCCTAAGAATCTCTGTCATCTGAACAACTGACCCCACTTAAGTAAGGTCCCAACCCCAGTTAAAGCTTTGATCTCCACCTTTATAGCTTATGAACTTGGCTCTGGATGATGTACATAATTTCATTCCCCACCCTACAAAGTTTCAGGAACCAGCAGAGCTGTGACATTTCAACAGTCCAGTGGTCATTTCACTGCCCATGCAAAACCACACACCAGACCTAGGTCCCCCACAAGAAGCAGCCATAATTTCACCCACCAAGGATGGTCCCCCCACCACGTGTCTACTACTCTTGCCTGCCAGGCCCAGCTTTGCACTTCCCAGAGCTGAATCCTCATGTTCAAGCGCTCACTGCCTCAGCCCTGGGTTTCATTCCCATTCTCTGTGACAGTGAGTGTCCCTGTGACTAATCATCTATTCCCTCCCCTTCCAGGAGGCTTCATGTGCTTATGTGCTGATCGTGACTGCTGTGTACTGGGTGTCCGAGGCTGTGCCACTTGGAGCTGCAGCCCTAGTGCCTGCCTTCCTCTACCCATTCTTCGGAGTTCTACGGTCCAATGAGGTTGGTCCCTTTGTGATCCAGCCCTCTGCTTGGCTTGGGCTCCAGCAAATGGGAGATTCACAAACCACCTGGTGGAGGGACTTTTTCACCAATTGGAGCAACCCCTAATCCTGGGCTTTACACCTCTGTTCCAAATCCTGATTTCTTCCTCAGCCCATAACCTTCATCTCCTTCAAACTGCTCAAAATTTGCCTCTTTCAGGAAGCTTTCCTTGATTAAACACATCCAACTGCTTCTTCAGTTTGAAACCTTTTAGGAACTATATGATTGGTACAAACACTTGATCTTTTTCAGTCTCTTGTATGTCCATGTAGATGATAAGCACACAAAGGCAGGAAGTAGGCCTTCCATTTATTGCTATCTCCTTGTACAGCTGAATCCATGTAAAGCAGGTGCTCAATCAATGTTTCTTGACAGAGAGACTTGTTATTTACACCAGATTATAGCCTGATCTTTCTTTGACCATGCTTTACCTACATTTTGCTCACTTTCTATGGCCTTCCCTAAGGTTCCCATGGAAATGGTCAATATCAAGCCCAGGTTGTGGCCAAATTTCAGGACAAAAATTTAGAACTGCCACAAACAAGGAAAAAGAAAAATAGCCAGGATAGAAGCAAGGTGAATGATGGTCCTCATTCAATCACATCTGGTTCCACTGGTTGATCTTGTTTTGGTGCCTGGTCTCTGGAATTCTGATGAAAAAGACTGAATAGAAAAAGGCATGAGGAAAGTCAGAAGCACAGAGGAAGAGGACAGGGAGCTAGTGTCTGAATCCTACTAGTAATCAAGTACTACCCAAGTGCTATATTATTTAATGCTGACTTTCCAAGATCTCTGTAAGACAGGTGTTAATATTTCCAAACTACACAGGAGGAAAGAGGCTCAGAGTTAAGAAACTTACCCCAAATCACAAAGTAGTGACAGAACTAGATTCAAATCCATAGCTATCAGATTTTAGAGTGTATACTCTTGCTTACAATGCCATACGATAAACATTCCACAAAGTATTAGGTGCTTCTTAGTGTTATCAATCCGTAGAGTTATTACCAAGAACTGTGGGTCCCTCTATCTCTGTGAGGAAGAAGGAATGAAGCTGGGCCTACTGGATGCGTTAGCCCTTGATAACAGAACTCTTTTGGAAGTCCATGGATAGGTGATCTAATAGCTGTGCTGCAAATAAACACTTTGTGTTTCTATGGATGGACTTGACTTACCAGTTTTTGTTGTTTTGACCTTGAACTTCTTTGTCTTCTTTTTATGTAGTCATAGCCTCAAGCTCTCTAAAAAAAGGATAGGATCCCCCAAACTGTCAGAAGAACAACACCAATACTGACATCTTGGGATCCCATAAAAAAGCTAGTTTGTGACCAGAATTGCCAGGCAGTCATTGTGATTTTTCCCCTTCTTTTGTGTAAAAAGGATAGGTAGGGAGGGTTTTGTGCATTCTTAAAAGAAAAATCAAACTTAAACATGGCTTTCATTAAGAGACATGTGCAAACTTGTTTCTGCAGGTTTCTCCTTAAGGTAAAACCAAACCATCCTGGAGTACCAAACCTTCATGGAGTAAGGGGTGAAAAGTAGAGGGTAGAAAAGGAAAAAAAAAAATGAAGTTTAGAAAGATTTGAATGCTAAGTAACATTCGAAAGTGAGATAGCTATGCATTAGGAGACTTAATCTTTGTATTTCTCTACAGGCAGTCCAAAAACCAACAGTGTGTTCCTTAGCCTTAAAGTAGCCAATTTCTCCAATGGCTATCTGAAGCGGGAATCCTCCAGGTAGACCTGCAGCCCATTCCTTGTAGAGATGTTGCTAGGCAACAGCTATACAAGAGCTGCCCCTTTGCACAACCAGTAAGGCCAAACAGATAGGGAGAGTCTGTGGAGGCAGTAGTTTGTTGGGGTTAATTTGACTTTATGAAGAGAAAAGAAAGATCGTCCTGTGAAATTAGGCATCGCTACTGCTGGAGGCTGGAGGAACGAGAGGGTACAGTTTCTCATTTGAGGGGGAAAATCCTAATCTAAACATCTGTCTGATGAAGTGACTTTGGCCAGCAAGGCTATTTTAGCAGTTGGACTACTGGGAGCAGCTTAGTCCAAATGTAGTCTGTTTAGCTGCCCTCCTTAGCTCAGATTAGAGGAAAATGCCAATAGGATAGAGGACATGAATTGTAGCCCTTGTGAGCCAGTTAACTTTGCAGACAAAACACCCTCTCTAGGACTGTAGGCACAACTCAGGAAGTAGAATGCCTACCTAGCAAGCTCAGGACCTGAGTTCAAACCCCAATACTGCAAAAAGAGCACCCCCTTTATCACCACTACAAGCACCCCTCCCCTAGTCCACGCCATGACTCCTTAGGAGGCCCCAACTCATCTGTGTGTTATGTCCCAAACCTAACTTATGCCTGGCCATTCCCTGGCCATGACTTGGGCCTTTCATCCAACTTGGAAGGGTCTCTCCAATTCCTTCAACTTTTGAAATCCTACTCATTTACTCTCTTTGGTGAAGCCCTTCCAAAAGACTCAGCTGAAAGCATATACTCTTTGCTTTGAGACTATTTGATGTTTTTATCTTTGACATGGTACACACTAAGTCATAAACTTTTGCAGACATGTGTTTTCTCTACTAAGACTCTCTTCCTCTAGGATTTGTAACTGGGCTCACAGCCTATGTGCAGCCCAATGTCACCTTGGGTCATCCCTCAATTCATGGTTCTTTCTTGCTGGGCTTCTTGATGGTGTATAAGTAGGGTAATCTCTACATGAGGAAGGTATACAAACAGGATCAGTATGGCTCTGGGAATGTAGCTTTTGTCCCTCATATTTTTCATTCAACATTCTGAAAAAATGTTTTTTGAGTTCTGTATCTACCACGTGCGGTATAGGATGATATGGCACCATGAAGTGACCAAGATGAACAAAACATGTCTTCCCTCTTGAAGCTCATTTCTGCCCTTTCTGAGCTTCCCACCATCACCACGATCACACATCTTAGGCTGGTTGTGTGATGAATGAGTCAGGGTTCTCCAGAGAAACAGAACCAATAGGAGGGTAGGATAGATATAGATACCACTGTAGACATAGATATATATGGGTTTCTTATGAGAAACTGGCTCACTCAATTATGGAAACTGAGACATCCCAAGATGTCTACAAGCTGGGAATCCAGGAGAGCTGGTGGTATAATTTAGTGTGAGTTCAAAGGCCTGAGAACCAGGGGAACTGGCACTGTAAATCCCAGTCCAATGGCAGAAGATAAAATGAGATGTGCCAGCTCAAGTAGTGAGGGTAGAAAATGGAGCAAATTTGTTACTCCTTCCTCCACCTTTTTTCTATTTGGGCCCTCAGTGGATTGGATGGGGAAGACCATCTGACTGAGTAGACAGATTCAAATGCTAATCACACCCAAAGTGCCCTCCCAGACATGCCCAGGAGCCATGTATTAGCTGGGCACCTCCTGGCTCATTCAAGTTGGCACATAAAATTAACCATCACAAGTGCACATAAATGGTTACTTTTTATGCTAATAACTTGTCAGCCAGCAAGAATTAAGAGTTCTATGTGATGCTTTAACTACTCTTTCATAGTAGAACTCAGGTGCTAAGAAGAGATATGGAATGATATAAGAGGTTCCCTGACCTTCAGAAGTTCCTAGTCTAGTAAAGAAAAAGTAAGACCACGTGGAAAAATACAGGAGACTATGCAGTAGTGCCTTGTCTCCTGATATTATAAAGGATTGACTTAATTCCTCATGAGAGAATGTTCTAGGTAAGTGAAATTCACACTGCCAAGTGCCCAAATTTATGTTGACCACTTTTTGATTACAATCTTTCTAGAAGGCTTTATGAGTTCCCTGGAAGTCATTGAATGTAAATTCACTTTTTTCCTTAGAGCCTTCAAAATTTCTGGGGAAAAGATAGATTCTTCCTCAGGGGAGCCAGTGTGGGCTAGGTGATGGCACAGTTGAGTAGTCCAAATGCTAGTTGAACAGCTGGACCTAAAGAATGCCAAGTACCATGCTGGCATCAGACTGGAGAGATTGTTCAGATGGAAATGGGAAAGACATGTTACAGGTTTTACAGATGACTAAGCTGGGTGGGCTAGTTTATGTATGGTGACAGATTCAAAGTTGCCTGGGTGAGACAATGGGCTGAAACTGACAGATGACGTTTAATAATGATAAATGTTAGCAGTTTATGTGAATAAACCCTTGGCTTTCAGCTAAGTACAGGCTCAGTATGAGTCATCTATCAGTCTAATGTGACTGCCAAAATATGGAGCAGTTACCATATGTCAGGCTGTAAGCGGCATCATTTACACGTACTATACCATCTAATCTTCTGTGAAGGAGCTATTATTTTTACCTTCGTTTTACTGAGGAGAAAACTGAAGTTCAGAAATTTCCACTAATTTACCCAGGGTTATACAGCTACTAAGTAGCAGAGCAAAGACTTAAATCCAGGATTATATGATTCTAAAACTTGCACTCTTGATTCCTGGACAATATGTACCAAAATCTTTGTTGAATTAATAAAGGAGGCATCCATAGCACCAAATTCTGGACAAAGAATTCATGCAGAGGTGGGTGGCCAGAATGTCAAAAATCTAGAACTCAAGCCCCATGAGAAAAGAAGAGATGAACTTAGGGGGTCATGATTTCTGACTTCTAACACTCAACATACCAAGACCAAAGAGTCAAAGTGCCATAAGGAGCACCCTACTCTGTGTAAAGGAAAATTCTGGAATGGGCTCCCATGTGTGCTTGTCATATTCTTGTCCTTGGAGTTCAAGCCAAAAGGCCACATCAGGCAGTGGCTCAGCCTGTAATTTTAGCTACCCCAGAGGCAGAGATTGGAAGATTGCAGTTCGAGGCCAGTTGGGCAGAGCATCATTGAGACCCCCTTTCAACCAATAAAAGCTGGGATGCCTATCATCCCAGCTATGCGGGAGGTGTAAATTGGAGGATTTCAGTCCAGGTTGGGCCCAGCATAAACTCGAGACCCT